GCTCTCCTGGGCTGGAGCAGGAGAAGGTGCTAGCTTGAGTCCCGTTGTGCATCTGCTCCAGATAACCCTGCAGAGGTGGCCCTCTACTGACACTGCCCATTTTGGAGCACATCCTGTCTCGGGCTCTATGTTTTTACGTGGCACAAAGGGTTTCCTTTTGCCTGCCCTGCAGTTTTTTGCCCATACCTGAGATAAAGCAACCCCCAGTAGCAGTGACCTGAACCTCTATGGCTGTCTGCTGTTGTAAGGATGTAAAAACAGTTGTGATGAGCAAGAGGAAAACACAGCTAGCTCTGTACCCTGCCTTTGACCATGGGCCACGTCAGGCAACATGGATGGAAGAGGATGAGACCGTGAGAAGCCCCGAGTGCTGTGTTCCTCAAACAGCCTTCTGGCTGGCAGTGGCATGTTGCCTTGGGACCTCCTGTCCTTGCATTTAACAGTCCTGTGCAGATTTTCCATCTGAATTTTTTTTCCAGGCTATTACATGAGTGATTTTTTCCATAGTTTGTGTTCAGTCAGGTCCATCTGGGCCAAGCTTAATTTGCAGGATCTGTGCATGGCACTAGGGACGAGTAACAAATAATTTATATTGCATATTGAATGCCTAAGAGGGGAAGGGCTGCAGAGGCCTGAGGCAGAGAGCTCCACAGGACGCATTCAGTGTAGGCTGACGAGGACTTCTCTCCAGGGCTAATGATCATAGAATCACAGAATCATAGAATGCTTAAGGTTGGAAGGGGCCTCTAGAGGTCATCTTGTCCAACCACCCTGCACACGCAGGGTCACCTAGAGCACGTGGCACAGGGCTGCGTCCAAGCAAGTTTTGAAGATCTCCAGAGAAGGAGACTCCACAACCTCTCTGGGCAGCCTGTTCCAGTGCTCTGCCACCCTCACTGTTAAGAAATTTTTCCTTAAGTTCCTGTGGAACTTTGATGCTTCAGTTTCCGGCCGTTTCCTCTAGTTTTGTTGGTGGCCATCACTGAAAAGGCGCCAGCACCATCCTCCTCATTGCCTCCCTTGACGTACTTATAGACACTGATTATGATCTTGAAGATTTAGTGGGCTGCGCTTGGAGACAGAATTTGTTCTCTCATGCTATCAATGCCCTCGTAATTTGTGAGTGGCAGACTAAAGTGGGCTGTAAAGGACTGTGGAAGGGCTATCAATAACCGAGGGAGAAAAATATTCTGCATCTTCTAAACAAGCAGTAATGAGTGCTGATTAATGGGCTGCAGAAAGTTAATGGTACGGTTTAGGCAGCTGAAAGAAGAGCAGGAGGAAAGGGGTTGTCTGTGACTGGCGCTGAGAATCATTTAGCAAGAGTTTGCTGCCTTGGGCCATGATGCAGGGTTTGGTAATGGCTTTAGTAGTCAGTGGCACCAGCGCCTGGCTTAGAGGTGGTGGCTACTGCTGCAGCTCATCACATACTGTAAGACAGGACTTTGATTAAGAAAGACCTCTCTGGTTCTTTCCTTCCCTGCAGGCAACCATTGAGAACTAGAACTATTTGTTTTATTCTATTTCTTCATAAATGCTCTTTTTTTTTTTTTTTTTTATCTCTGCTGCTCCATGTTAGGCCTCTGACTTGGATCGAAGAAAGAGGACCAGGAATGAGACGTGAGAAGAAGATCAACTTCTGTTTCACAAGCGGCTGCCTGGAGGACCTCCCCCAAGCCTCAAGGTCGGCTGTAGGCCTTTTCATGCAGGATCAGAACCTCTTTGCCAAAAAACTGCTGGGCCAGGTATCTAAGGAGGAACTGGCTGCTGAGAAATGGCGAATTTTGCGCTGTCTTGACCTGGCAGAGGAGATCCAACAGCACTGTGAGCACACGGAGAGAAGAGATTCCTAAGGCCGCTTGCAGGGACCAAGGGATGTAACAGCACGAAAGGTGTAGGGCTAGAGCTCCCCACAGGGCTACAGCTCCTCACACAGTTGCTATTTCTGTTTTGTTACCTACTCTCTGACTAGTTGTGACTCCTATGCTCTCTGGGTGCACTGGAGAGCCTGGGCCTTACCCAGTCGCTTGTGGTGTGTGCCAGAACTAGGCAACATGTTACCCTGCTCTGCCCTGCCAGGCATATAGGAACCAGCATATAGGAGTGACTTTCATATGATTGCTCCCAATAAATTCAATGGGAAGTGTCCCTACGAGCAGAACCTGGAATATGGCAAATATTAGACATAATTTCCTTCATGTTTTTTTTCCTCCTCTTTTTAGATATGTCTTAAAATGAGAGACATGTAGCATCATCTAGAATAAAACAGAGCATTGCTTTATTAGTATTTTATTCACTTTACTTGATCTGCAAAACTTGAGCCATTCTGACCTATCCTTCTAGCTTCCCTGAACTGTTCTGCGTGTTTGCTCTAATTAGTATTTGGTGGTGTATTGAAGGCAAGGACTAAGGTATAATGAACCAAAGACCCTTTATTAAACACCAAATACAATGTATACACTGTACTGTCCCAGATACAATCCTTATTTGCCTAAAAGCACACGAAGCACAGTTACTAAATAAACCAGTAATCTAAAGGATTACGTCAAGAGTATCCAGTCAGCTTCTTGGTCACGCAGCAGCCGCACAGTTGCATTTTTCTCCTTTTTCTTTCTTTTGCTCCTTATTTGCTGATAGAACACCTGCACTGCTGTCCTTGAGGTATCCCGTCCTACTGTCCTTGAAGCAGGCCTCCACATCTCCCCCTTCTTTATTTAACTGTTGTATTGCCATAGCTGTTTTTAATGGAGCAGGTAACTTGGTTAAATGATCAATCAATCAATCGTTGAACACATAATAAGAAACAAAGCAGACACGCTCACAATAAACAAAATACAGTTAGTACTATAATTAGAAACTTATCAGCGCAAGTTGTAAAGACATGAACTTGGGTCAGATATGTCGAGACAAGTTTATTAGCAGAAAGCACTTCTATTTGTACCCAGCTACCCTCCCGCCGAACCCCCGTCAGGACTTTCCGTAGTACCTTCAAGTGATTTTCTGTTCACAAATGACTGTTCTTGCCTCCCTGCCTCAAGGACTTTTCGAAGTGCCCTAAGCACCAGACAGCGAACTTGCACTAATCCTTCTACTGGTATCATCGCTTGGGCGGCCGGGGCCTGGAACCTCCCCTCTCCCATAAGCGCATCCATATCCGCAGATATGCTGGAGGCTCTCCAGTGACAGAGTTGTGATGCCATGCCTCCATTCCATCATGAGGATCCTATATTGCATGGGGGTCAACATCATCGTAGTGATTAGTTTCCAGTCATGTGGCAGTAGCCAGTAGGCTTCCGCTATGTTTTCCCGTAAGTTCACGGTAAAAAGAGACATCAACCCATTCTCTAACACTGCCTTTCGGAGTTCTTTACAATGCTATACTCCAGAGGCTGGTATTGCGGAGCCTGGCTGCACGAATACGCAACTGGGAAAGCAGGTAGCACTTCTGCATCTCCGGCCCTCCCAGCTCCTCGGCAGACCTCAAACCATTGGTCATGCGGATCGAGTGAGAATAAGTCTAGGACTTATTAGTTCAGGGACTACAGGTCCTGGATCTAGGGGATCGTTGGGTGGATCCACATGAGCCACAGCGCACACCACCCCTTGATCCGTGCCTTGACTCAGCTCAGGTGGCGCAGTAGGACTTTCCCCTTTTGTTTTACCTGAGTCTCCAGAGCCAGACCCTATGTAGGCCTTTAATGCCTGAAAAAGGGCTTGCCAAGGTCCAAGGAGGTCGGCCGCTCTTTTGTCATTTTTGGTTTCCTTATCCCACAAGTGGATCCTATCCAGCGCAGGACTACAAGGATGGAGCATCTGCCCTATGAGGAAAGGCAGAGGGAGCTGGGCCTGTTGAGCCTGGAGAAGAGAAGGCTGAGAGGGGACCTGATCAGTGTCTATAAATACCTCAAGGGGGGAGCGAGGAGGATGGGGCCAGCCTCTCTTCAGTGGTGGCCAGTGATAGCACAAGAGGAAACAGCCACAAACAGAACCACCCAAAGTTCCACAGGAACTTAAGGAGAAATTTCTTGACAGTGAGGGTGACAGAGCACTGAAACAGGTTGCCAAGAGAATCTCCTTCTCTGGAGATCTTCAAAACCTGGAATCTTGTCCCACGTGTATTTAATTGTGGCTCGCTGTCTTGAGCCCAAATTAATAAGCGTTTTTAGTTCGTTTCTTCTAAAATCCTTCTTTCCTTATGCAATATGTGCTTCAACACTTCTACCACAGTTTTCTGTTCTTGAGTCATAGAGTTCCCCATCGCATCCTTGGCTGCCTACCTTCTGTCCAGCAGTTAAGGTGCCTTCCTTTCAGGCCTTGTTCCGCCGAGCCACGCCACCAATACAGAAAATGCACCTGCCGCCTATTCAGGTGCCTGTTCAGGCGCCGTTAGTGGCGTATTGAAGGCACAGACTCCAGTATAATGAACCAAAGACCCTTTATTAAACACCAAATACAATGTATACACTGTACTGTCCCAGATACAATCCTTATTTGCCTAAAAGCACACGAAGCACTTACTAAATAAACCAATAATCTAAAGGATTACATCAAGAGTATCCAGTCAGCCTCTTGGTCACGCAGCAACCACACAGTTGCAGTTTTCTTCTTTTTCTTTCTCTTGCTCCTTGTTTGCTGATCGAACACCTGCACTGCCGTCCTTGAGGCTGATTATCTACTAACAAGGCTTCCCGTACTGCTTGCCTTGCAGCGGGCCTCCACAGTATTGTGCCTTTGTTTTATATTGGAAATAAGCCAGATTCAAACAGAATCTGCAGTGGTATCAGCTCAAAATAAAATAAATATTTTTGTCTCTTAGTAGATGCCATTTCGGGTTCACTTACTTAGTTTCTCTGGTACGCTGTACCAATATAGAAATACATTTTTTATCCAGCAATCAGAGATTAGTGCAGTACATTAAACTAATGCATCATCTGCCTGCTTTCCACTATATTTCATTGTAATGGACTCAAATATATTTTTATTGCACTGAAAGCAGGATGTGATTTTTCTCTTTTGTGTTCTGTATCTGATTCAGCATATGAACAGATCACTCCTAAAAATAATAGACATACTTAAAAATGAGAAATATTACACTCCGGTAAACACTGAAATTTAGTAGAAATAGTGATAAAAATAGAATTGAACCTTAGGAACTGGAGCCATTTGCAAATGTAGCCATGCAGTCGTGAAGCATCACACCCGTGGGATGGATGTTTGGCATTTTATAGTAGCCCAGAGGTGCATGTGAAGACATTATCACTTCCCTGAAGAAGCATTTCAGTTTTAGAGGAAAGCTAAGCAGTGCACAGAGCTATTAATGATTCCTCCGCTTGCCTTTTACTTTCTAATTACAGTATCTGTCTGTGTTAATGTAGCAACAAACTTTCGTGTGCGCAGTTGTTGTGCTTCAAACTCAGAAGGCAGCATCTCTTTATTACAGTATTCTTTGGGCAATTTTTAAATAAATGTGTTTATTGTAAACATATATATATATAATTACAACCAGTCAGTACTAATATAAAAGTTCCTTCTTTGTATTCATGCCTGTTGAGAAATTTGATACAGTTCAGGTAGACTTTGGGAGAGGAAAGCCTGGGTATTTTATCCCAAATCGATCAGATTCTAGGAGCAACTTGCGCTTGCAACATGAATGAATTTTGCCTATAAATTTTGTTTAAATCTACTTTGTCTTGCTAAAAACAGTGGAAAGTCTCCTACTGTCTTGAATGGATTGAAATCCATGGGAGCTGCAAACAGGAGATTTGTTCATGCAGATCATGTGGTTTTTGCCCAAATGGACACAGTCCTCAGCACTCGCAGTGGTTTCTTCACTTACGGAAGGGCATTACTTGAACAAATCTGATGCCATTGGGATGGGGAGGGAGGAGGGAAGTTTCATGCTGCCCAAATTCAGGGTGAAATACGAAAGTCCTATCTCACATCAAAATGAAATTAAAATCTGCTGTGTACATGCAGCGCACAAGGCCTCCTGTTCCTTGACAGATTCTTCTGCTGTGGCTGCGGGATGAATGCTGCTCACATGCATGCTAATGTAAGCAGGTTGTAGAGGAGGGAAACCAAAGGGAATAGAAAGTTATAGGCAGCAAAATTAACCTTGCTGTCTGCAGAGGCTTGTCCCTGTAGAGGCACCCAGGAGAAATGGGCCGGTTCGGCTGGGCAGAGGCAGATACGCGGTGCTGGTCCATCCACGCTGTTCCTCGCAGCTAACCCTGCTGCTGGATGTCAAAAGGGCTCATGTTGTTTAACCAGACGTCAAACTCACCAGTAAAGGTACAGGCGCTCTGAATTGTCCCTCTGCGTGTCTTTCATTAGCAATTCCCACTCTCTGCGCTCAACACACCTCTACCCCCACAGCTGTTTTCCCCCTTCAAACCCCGTGAAATCCTGCCAGTGACTGCAAGCCGTGATCCTGCTCGAAAGCCCTCACTGTCTCCCCCTCGTGTTTCAAGTTTTGAATGCAAGAAGCTCGAGCCTCCGAGAAGGTTGTGACCTTACCTCAGTTCGTGATGCCCCCGCAAGAGTCCTGCCCTTCTCATTTCAGTCTGACTCCTCGCCCCTGAGTTCTGGCAAATCTAAATCTCAGCTGCGCACATCCAGTTTCCCATTTGACAACGGCATTTTTTTTAGGGACCTTTTTGAATCTACTACATAGGATCTGCAACAGATTTCCATCATTTATTAAACAGCTTGGTCCTAGTAGAAATACTGACAGAAGAGTTTTTCATGTGGTCTTTGATGTCATCTGAACTCAATCAGTTTTTGGAAATGTAAAAGCATGAAAAAATACATATAAGGTGTGACATGCACAGGTTAGTATAGCACATTCTTTGTAAGTATCTGATTCGTGCTTCTTTCACTGAGAAGTCTGTTTCATGAATATTGCT